TCTTTAAACACTTTAACAACAGCTGCTCTTGAACATTTAACGAATACTGCTGTTTTGCTGATACTCGCTCCATGGCTCCGAGCGCCAACAATCATCCCACGTTCAAAGGCTGTTAAATTGCGTTGTTTACCCATATCTTCAGAAAAAAAATCACTTCTACTGTCATGGTAAACAACCTGCTTCCCTATTTATAATGGTCTGGTCCTCTAGCAACTTCAGCGCGAAATTATAGCTAATTTGCATACAAATGTCAGGTGGTCATAGTAATCTGGCCACTCAGTGTACATCTCAATATCAAATAATATAGATGGATTATTTTCCATAAACTGACTTTGAGGTTTCTCTGTAGATAGAAGGAGAATGGTGCAGACAAATCTGATCAGTATACAAAATTGTTTTTTACTGGATCTACAGTATGTAGGACACTATATAAACATACTTATCAGGCACATTGTTTTTCTATTCTCACATGCTGAAACTTCAGAAAATATAATTTAATGATGTTCTTATCTGTATGTTGTGCAACTGTATATCTATTTTAATTGATTCGATTAAAAAAACAAAATGAAATATTAGTGGCAGTATACAGACAATGGCGCTACTGTTGGTTACAAAGGGACTAGTGGAAAATATACTCTTTTTTAAATGGTGGTATTAGAGGCTGTATCTATTGTGTCCCAAAAATCCTTTAACATTGGTGCAAAGAGAACTTTGGATGCTTTTTATGATTTAAACATGTTTAGCTACCATGCTTTTTCTAGTTTACGGTTTTTAGTAGGGAAGAGTGAATTGATTTGCAAGCAATGCAAATCTGCAAATGTATATGAATATATATTCATGCAGGCATTTATGAATCACAGCAGCTTGGATTCCTGAATTGTTTCTTTTTCTGCATATATGCATTGAAATATTCAGGTAAAAAAAAAAACAAATAAAATTTGTCAATTCTCACAATACTCAAGAGTATGTTACATACCAGGTTACTATATATACTGTAAACATGTGGCATGACATGTCTTAACACTTTATTTTGTAAGCAATTATATAATGTGCACCGCAAGATACACTGTAAAATCTAAAAATATGCAACATATGAACAAAGCAACCCTTTAGGTAATGGCATATTACTGGTAACAACACGCATAATGTTTCTGTTCTGTTTTCTCTATAAATCAATAGATTTACAGACATTTTCATCCATCACTAAGATAGCTCCAGCTAGTTTTCAGAGTAGACACAAAATGTACATTTACTTTTGCTAGTCTGTTAAAGTTCAATGCACACAAAATATAAATGTATTCATATGTTACCCTCGCAGACAGAAAAGGTGCAGCTTTTATTTAACTAAGAGCAATCCTCCTAAGGTTATTGCACAAGTTTTTCACCTTAAAACCATGCTATCTTCAGGCTACTTTTAACTGTGAGTTTCTGTAAGCTCTGTATTGAGTGCAGCAAAAAATGGATCCACTCCAGATAAGCATGATACTTATTTTCATGATTAAAGTAAATTATCACAGAATAGAATAATGAATTCAGTTAAGATAACACATGTATCTACCCTTTTGTGTAACCAGTCAGTGTTAATAGTACCATTCACTGTATTGTATGACTATTCTACCTGGTGGACAAATACAGCCATAATAGTTCATGTATATGAAGGTTTTCTTAGAAGCAAACAAACTTGGAATCCAAATGTGCAAGGCCTTAGTTGCATGTTTCTGTAACCAGAACCAGATTAGGTCTGTAATGAAGTTGCTGGTTTCTGCTATTTTTGCAAGGATGGCTGTGGCAGTGATTGCCAGGTTTCAACAGAAATCAAGTTCTAAAACAGTAGCATACCTCAAAGTATATCTAAACCCAAAACAAAAATGTAGTATACCACAGCTTACCAATTGTTAAATGGGGTGGCTGCATTATTTTTTAAAGTTTTTTTTTCTTTAAAGGAGAACTATAGGGTCAGGTCTTTTCCCCATAGTTCTCCTAAGGGTCACGGGAGAACACAAACTAGCGTTCTCCCGTGACCCAAAGCTCAGTATAAAGCGAGCTACAGCTCGCGGTATACTGAGACGCCGCAGCCAGGACGGATCCCGACAAAACTGCCTGGATCCACCCAGCTGCAGGATTGACAGCTTGGTCTGCCTATCCAGAGGCAAAGCCAGCTGTGCCTGCCCCCTCCTCCGTCCGTTTGCTGGAAGATCGCACAGGGGAGGGGGGCAATCCCTGCAGGGAGCCTTGAGTGACAGTCGCGGCTCTCTGCAGGGATAGGAAATACAAAAACCTGTGCTTGTGGAAAATAAAGAAAAGAACCAGAATGGCTAGTAGCTGCTAAACTAAGGCGGCGAGCCCAAAGGGTAAATCAATCAACAGTGTAGCGCTAAAAGCCTCACCATATCAATCCAATTAGTGTTATACCCACAAAGTAGACACAATGTGTTAAATTCGATGCATGTCAATGAAAATACTAAACAATTACTTTCTGTGTGAGTGAAAATCTTTTTCAAAGGAAAACTGTGTATCCATTAAAATCTAACCGTATTAACCCAATTAGTGTTAAACACACAAAAATCGAAACAATGTGTCCCATTCGATGTATATAAATAAATAAAATGCTGAAACAATTAATTTGTATGTGAGTGAAATACTTTTACAAAAACTGTGTAAACGTGAAAATCTACACAACTCGTGACAAATATGTGTATCTGAGAATATATAACATCTCTGTAAGAGAAGTCAAGTGCACCAATCCTTGTGCATGGTTATAGACCAGTGCACAACATATCATCACAAAAAATTATGACAAAACATAAAATGTCATAACATTGTGAATCCAAAAGAAAAGATTTTCAGAGTTTTTTAATCTAAAAATCTGGTGTAGGATGAGTCCTGTGAATTCAAGTGATGGAGCAAATCGTTCTGTTAATGTTCCAAACGAAGACCAAAGCCCAAAGTGTAATAAGTGTCCAATCCAGTGATGTGGTGGTGAAACGAAAAATCCCCTCTAGGGTATGTACTCACCGGACTAAAGATGTTTAAAGGCCGTGTGCAGCACCGGAGTAGAGGTAGCCGTTCGCTGTGTTATCCTCCGTCTTAGCGCCAATGAGGTCTGCCAAATCCTATGTCAGACTTCCGTTTGCCGTCATAAAAAAATAAAGGAATACTCCCATGGTGTAGCAAAATGAAGTAACTTTATTTAAATAGGAAACACGGCTAAAAAGGTTTTTTTAAACAAAGAGCCAAAAAAAAGAATAGAAAACCGGCCGGTCAGTAAAATGACTGCTATGACTGAAGGAGTGACGTAATTGCAGGACCGCCCCTGACGCGTTTCATCATATAGACGTTTTCAAGGGATAGGCAGGTCTCTGCAGGGATAGATCGAGAAGTGAGCGAGCGACGGTATGTGCTCACTTCCCGATCTACTGAGCCGACCTGTGACAGTTTCAGTGTCACAGGTCAGCTCAGATTATGAGGCTGAGTGAAAATCACTCGCCTCATAATTCTCCTTTAATTTCACTTGGTGATGCGACCAGTAACACACTGCCTATCATAGGGTGGTTCCACTCTATGGAGGAACAATGGAGCCACCATAGGACAGCAGTATTGTCAGCCTCTGATAGATGCACTAGCAAATTTACATGTACTTGACTAACATACAGATGTTCCTCGCTTACCGACTTACCTATTTTGCGAAAACTCGCACTTACAACGGACCGCTGATCGACCTCCGACCTTGCACGTCAGCGTCAGTGCGCCGTGTCGCCGGCGGAAGTGGTGTCCTCCGATCTTCACTGCGGGTCCCGGTAAGTATTTTCATTGCCCGATGTACAGTACATGTTCGGCAACGCTATACAGTACTTTACTAATGCAGTACAGTACTGTATAGAGTTCCTCACTTAACGACCAATCTGTTTAACGACCTAGTCGTAGGAACGGAACTCGGGCGTTAAGTGAGGAATACCTGTATTAAATCCAAATTCCAGCTAAGACCTTTTAAGCAGTCACAGGAACAATTTTTTTTGCTGTTTTTTTTTTTGGGACAGCTTGGTCTGCTAAAGGAAGTTGAAAAACAACAGACTTACTGTCTGAATCACCAGCTGAAAATAAAGGCAAAAAGCCTAAAAAGAGAAAACTAATGGATCCACCACATTTAAGGATTGCTATATATTACATTTTTGCTTTTAGGTTTAGATACACTAGATTAAGCTGGAAAAAGCACTCTTTTTTTGGCTTTAAAAAAATGTAGGTATGTTTTTCATATGTTTTATTATGTATAATAAAATAATGCTTTTATCTTTTGAAAAATCTGGCTAGTAGTGAATAGATATGGTGTAATCACTTTTTTGTTGAATGTTAAGGTGTAACACACTATTTTTCAGGAACATTGTTGTTTTTCCTGCAAACTTCACGGTTTTTCAGTACACATAGAAAACATTTCTAGGGCTGTTTTAGTTAAATGGTAAAAATGCTTAGTAATAAATGCTTATTTAACTGTTCTTGCTGTCTAGAGTCAAGAAATATACTATTTTTTTCAGTTACTGTATTGATACAGCTTTACAGTTTGTCTCAGTACTTGGCACAAGTATTGCATTGATGGAGACATTTTGCTTAGATGCGTCATAGCTCTGAAGTTAAAACAATATCCACACTATAAAATTCCAACTCAAAGTTTTAACCAAAAAAATCAGGTTACCTATTCAGCTTGTAGGATACGAGTCCGATGTGATCATTATTATTGTGATAGAAAATGAAAGAGCAACAGTTTACACCATATTAGTGTTTACATTCTACATAAAATGTTAAGTTGTATTAGTAACTCGGAATCATCAAATAAATCAAACAAGCAGGGATTTATTAATACAGAGTAAGTCAATATCAAAAATATCACATAGACGAGGAATGTGACTTTACAGTACCTGTGTGCCTATTTACCAACTAAAACTAATGCTTTGAATGTTTGCATTTATAACAGATTCATTTGTATAATAATATGTCATCTATTATAGAACTTATGGAACAAGTAATCTGCTGGATGATCTAAAGCTGTTGTACCGTACAGCTGGGCAAAAAGGAAAAGGAATATCTTTCATATTTACGGACAATGAGATTAAGGATGAATCATTTCTAGAGTACATGAATAATGTGTTGGCTTCAGGAGAAGTGTCCAACTTGTTTGCAAGGGATGAGATTGATGAAATCACACAAGATTTAATACCTGTCATGAAGAAAGAATATCCACGGCGGGCCCCCACTGCTGAGAACCTTTATGATTATTTCCTCTCCCGTGTTCGCAGTAACTTGCATGTGGTGCTTTGCTTCTCTCCAGTTGGGGAGAAATTCAGAACCAGAGCTCTGAAATTCCCAGGTCTTATTTCTGGATGTACCATGGACTGGTTCCAAAGGTGGCCACGAGATGCTTTGGTTGCTGTTGCCCATCACTTTTTGACTTCTTACAAAATAGAATGTACAGAAGAAGTGAAACAGAGTGTTGTAAACACAATGGGTACATTTCAGGACCTTGTGGCAGAAAAATGTGTGGAATATTTTGAAAGGTTCAGACGCCAGACATATGTCACCCCAAAATCATATCTATCCTTCATTAGTGGCTATAAGGCAATATATGGGGAGAAATATGAAAATGTAGGAAATCTGTCCAACCGCATGAAAACAGGTATGTTTGTTGCATCTCATGTTGATCTGATTGACATCAATGCAATCTAATATTTGTTCACGTAATACAATCAGTGATTTTTTTAATTAAACGTATGATTTTCTCCTCCTTATAATTGGTTACCTAAAACTAAAATTATTAAAGTAAGTTTAGATTGCTACATTCAGATGTTTCTTTAAAACTACATCAGATGTTTTGTGTTTTTGAAAAGGTAAAATGCAGAGCCATTTGGGTCTTGTGTAAAAATATCTGAACGAAAAATGCCCTTATTTGACCTATATAACAAAGCAAAAGCACAGAGACATGGTACTACATTAGAATTTGCATTTTGCATGAATTGTTTATTCCATTCTTTCTGCCTGGTTTGGTGTTTGGTGTCCTTAATGCCATTTGACTCTCTTTTCTAAGATTACTGTTGGCAAGTAATTGAGAACTAGGAAAAGATGTATCACTGGTGAAGGGATATAAAGCAGGGGTCTCAAACTCAATTAAGTCCGGCGCCACTGGACAAATTTTTTAGTCCCGTGGGGGCCGCTACTATATACGGTACCAGTTTTAATGTATGCACGTTACAAGCGGCAACTGTCACCGATTCAAATTAATGATCGTGTGACAGCTGCTACATTTAAACGACTGCACACCGCATGTAATCATATGTGAAAGCATTACATGTAGTTAGGAATCTGTCACTATCCCTGGGTACACAATTGTATATCCAGTAATAGTGATTGTTTTTGTAACCGCATGTAATCATATCACATACGATTACATGCAGGCATGTAAATGCAGCGGCTGTCACCCGATCATTAATTTGAATCAGTGACAGTTGCTGCATCTAAACGCCAGAACAGGGATTCTTGCTGCAGAAAAACGCAAGTTTGTGACACTGGAATACCTAATTGCACCTGAAATATAGGGGACTCCCCCCCCCCATTGCAATCCCCCCGCACACATATTGATACACCCCCCTTCCTATCCCCCCCTCACACATAAAAAAAC